ACTTTAAAGATTCTCCGTTTCTTCACTATTGTAATTAGGGAGTTTTACAAGCTGCAGTTGAGTTCCAATCCAAATAACCCAAGTAGCATAACAGCTACCAACGTAACCATACTACCTGAATCAAGTAATGCTTTAGAAATTTTTCCATTCACAGTTACACAGCATTTATGAGAGTTATTATCATAGTCATTGTTAACAGCACCATAACAGTTGAACAAAAATGAATGTGCTCCCTCATTTTTACCCATATTGCATTCCATAGGTTCATCCTTCAATGGACAGTCTTTGGCCATATGACCATCCTCTTTGCACTTGAAACATTTGACAGTATAATCTGACCACCAATTAGTTCCTCTCCCAGGCCTATTAGACCTGAATGCCCCCCTGGTGTTTTTTGTATAGAGCTGCAGCTCTTCAGCTTCCCTTAAACCTTCAACAGTCTTACCAGGTCTTGCAGTATCTTGGGGCTTAGGATTGCGGGGGTTTTCCTGTGAAGTAGGACACAGCAGTTCTCCTGCAGCCACATATCTTTCTACCAAGGCAATCAGTTGGTCTGCTGTATGGGGATCACTTTGGCTGATCCAGTGACGCAGGAAAGCTGGTAAACCACACAAAAACTGGTCCATTACTAAGGTTTCAACAATGTGGCTAGCTGAATGCATTTCAGGTTGTAGTAATTTCCGTGCGAGGTGTGTGAGGACTGTAGAGGTTACACCCAGTCGTGCCAAGATTTCAGCTTTCAATTTGCTGTAGTTACTTGAATCCCCTGGTTCTAGGTCATAATTTGCCTTCTGCGGCTCTCCACTTAGGAACGGTGCCAGTATGCTTGCCCACTCATCAGCCGGCCATATCTCCCTCTCAGCAGTGCGTTCAAATGCCAGAAGGTACGCCTCAACATCATCTGATGCAGTCATTTTCTTAAGGTAGTGGCTCGCCCGTATCACCTTTGGCCCCTGGTATCTTCCATCAGGGTCTCCATTCAGCTTTTCAGAGATAGCTTGGATTTCCTGTTGTAGTCCCTGGGTGGCTTTTTGCTGCTCCTCACAGGCAATCTGTTTCACCAAAGACTCAGTGCACTCCATCTGTGTTTTGGCCAGGATTTTAGCACACTCTGCCTGGGCCAGCACCAGCTGCTGCAGGGCTGCACTGTTTTCTGAAGCTCTCCTGTTGCACAGAGGTGGATTGGATCAGAGCCTTGATAACATCCTCCATGTTGAGCTTTAAATAACTTCTACCCTCAGGCTTACGTGGCTGCCCGCATTCTCCACCATATGTAACAAACCACCTCTTTTACCGGTAGGATTTTGTCACAGATCTTATGGTAACCACAGCCTTCTAGGGTAATCAAAGTCCAGGACACATCCAGCTCATTTTTTTCTGATTTATTTGGTGCAAAATATACAGGTGCGTCAAAATAAAATAAACAAAACAAAATTCCTTGTTATGTACGTAGTGGGGAATCTCGATGCAGCCTAGAACATAAACTAACCCCATTCAACCCCCCCAATAACGACAGACCACTTAGTATGGATGAAACAGGCCAAACATTTATTATCACAAACTAAATTACTGCATAACACATCCATAACTTTATTTATTAAATCTCTTCTTTTTCTGTAACCAAAAATGTTAGACATAAATAGGCATAAATTAACATATATGACTCCACACATAGTGTTATACAGTGACCCAACCGTCCTTGCCAACAAACATACAGTGGTTCCTAATCACCACTTCCTCTCACCTCCCCCCTCGTCATAAAAATCATATCTTACCAATGCCCGTCCCGTCATCAGCCGACCTTATCCACGCTCGATGGGCACAACACCTCAGGCAATCTAATGTTAACCGTTTGAAGCAGGGGAGGTTGAGACCTTAAAACTTCATCTCATTCCATATACTTAAACGTAACCCCTCAAATACAATTGGCAAGGACATACCCCTGCCACAACTCTGCTGTTTTACACCTAAAATCAGCGGGGGACCCCACCACAACCAGCCATGGCCTGTTCCACCACTTCATGCAGCGCTAGATTAACATAGGCCTAGTCCGACCTCCAGCAAGCGCACTGTGACGAGACCAATCTCGCCACATTGCATTGGAGAAGCCTGGTTGCTCGCCTGCTGCCTTTGGACTATGGCCCCCTTTTAAAAGACTTTATTTTTCCCTGCAGAAAAGCCATATTCATGCTTTTCTGCCGGTTGTTCGGTAGTTTCAATCTACCGAACAACCGTACGAATGACTGGACCACCTGGGAGCTGGAGTGTGCCGGCAATTAACCTCCCTGAAGCTGCGGTTAACCGCAGCTTAATTGATGAACGCTGGGTGGCCGCCGTTCGTATCCCGAACACGAGGTCGCGGCCATTTTAAACCATACGAATGAACAGCGGTGTTCGCCTCTACTTTTCATGGAACTAAAATCGGACACAGTTTTGCGCGAACACCGCTGAAGCCGCCGACCTCCCTTCTTGTTCGGTGAAAGCACACGAATGACCCGGTGTTCGGTATTTTTGTGTGAATGTCTTATACCCCAGATAGGAATCCCATGGAGCCCATTCGTATGAAACTGACTGTAAAGACTTTGGCTCCATGGCGATTGAACTGTATTCGTGTAGTCTGAGTGCCATTCACCTAATAATGTGCACTCAGACCTGAGCTATCTGGGGATGTGTTACATGTCTGTGTTTAATGTAGTAAATGTTACTTTGTGCATTTTAAAGTATTATGCTGGTTTTGTGTTCCCACGTGTGTAATGGAGTTTTGCCTTTGTCTTGGGAGATAATTGAGTTACTTCCCAATTATCTCCCAGGGCAGAGGGGAGGAAGCCAGGATGCATTGTGGGAATATACTGTGACTGTGTGTCCTTTTTGTATACTTGTCTGTCCCTTGTCACAGTCTCCCATTTGGTCCCCTAGGGGAGTGTCCACCAGGTGGGAGACCTGCATAAAAGCTGGGCAGGTAGCCCTCATTAAACAGACCACTGCTTGACCCTCAACACGGAGCCTTGTCTCGTCTTTGGGGGGATTTACTGTATGCTGCTAAGGACTGATTGCCAGGAGTGTAAGCCGCTTGGGAGCTTTTCCTGTTCGCCTGGTAGCAGCAATTCGTATGGTTCCTGTTCGTGTATTTGGAGTGCTACCTTATTCCCTTGTATGCCGTTCGGGAGTTTGGAGCATTCACTTGTATGCAGTTCGAGAGTTTGGAGCATTCACTTGTATGCAGTTCGAGTGTTTGGACCATTCCCTTGTATGCAGTTCGAGTGTTTGGAGCATTCCCTTGTATGCCGTTCGGGAGTTTGGAGCATTCACTTGTATTCAATTTGTGAGTTTTGGTGATTCTACAGTAGCTGTGCCTGTCTCTGAAAGGGGATTATCGTCTAAGCGGTTTTTTTCCCCTTTTGTGCAAAACGGTCCGTTACACGCACCCATCCCCTCAAGATAACTAGGCCACATCCGGCCAAACACTAAGGCGAACTGGAATCCCCCAAGCCCCCAAGACAAACCAAGAAACCCATCTCGTCCAATTTCCGATGGCAGCGCACCAGGGCACTCACATTGCTGTGTGCACTGCCAACAGGAACGGGCGATAGCCTCAGCCCAGCCCCTGAGAACCTCTGGGAAGAAACAGAGTGTATAACATGTCTAGATTTAAGAGCACCCAAATCCCAAACCGTCACCAAACCCAGGTCATTCCACCCAGAGATGACAAAACCCCCGGTACCCCCAGGAGGCGGGACAGTTGACCCCGTACGAGGAGGAGCCAAGCCCCCCTCATGTATCTGGTGCCAGACCACTGAACCTCCACTCCCGAAGGCGTAAGATCCAACCACTCGCCCCCCCACCTCCTGGCCCAAATTACATATGAGCATCCCACCATCCCTATTCCGGGGGGGGGGGGGGGAAGAGACCCAAGGAACCTACCACCATGACCCCCACCATTCAAGCCAGTGGTGCAGGCACGCCAAGCCTGGCGGCGTCGGTAGCCGCCCCTAACCGGACTGAATGCCCCCTGAACTCTCCACCACCCTTACCCAGGAATTCGAGCCCCCATTGGAGCACCCCAACGACATGGACGCAGGAGAGAAAACCCAGATTCGAGAACCAAACAAGGGGTGAGGAGGCAGAATAACCCAGGGGCGGAATAGTTCTCACCGAAGGAAAACAGGACACATGTCGGAACCCGGCGCTCCCCCCAATCGGAACGGTATAATTCCAAACTATCCTGAGAACCTAGTACATCCTGTTAGGAGCTTAACCATCACCCTGTGCATTCCATCTACCTCAAGAGAAAGCAGAAAGAGCCCGGTTATGTCAACCCCGCAACGTCCAAGAATGGAACAGATTCAATTGATGAATCAGCCAACCGCTACCAACTTACCTTTCCCAAATACAACAGCCATCGAGCGGCGAAAGCCTGAAGGAAGTCCATTCTGATGCTTACTCAATCCACCAAAACCCCTGCCCACCTGCAGATGACCGTAACATGAACGGGAAGCCGCTAAGGAAATGCTCTCATCTGGCCCGATCGCTCACACTTTACTGTAGCGGGCCCCACACCGCCACAGAGAGCGACCCATGGACCATCTTCATCAGCCGCTAGACCAAGCGACCATGACTCCACTGCCTTATAATGTAGCCCCGCGGAGCCCCCGCCCAAAGTTCGTCCTACAGTGAACCAGATAGAGTAGGTAGAGTAACCTGCCATTACCTTCTGAACCCCCGGGAAAACCCTGCCTGACCCGACACTCCCAGATTCAAACACCGCCGAGTGAGGTGCCGCAACCCAAGTACCCCCGGGGTAAAGGGGACTTACACATGATATAGACAGCCTGCACCACCGCACGATTGTCGGAAGAACTACCCACCTGTCCGCGAGCTGGGTACCCCACACCTACCATGCAACCCAAATGGGAAGCTCCAAGACTGCAAGAGCCCCGATGCTTGTCAGCTTACTGGGCAAGAGTCAGCACCATGGAAAACCCAAAAGGGCCCCAAAAAACCCCAAACCCGCTGCAGCGGCAACAGGTGGAAGTCAGTGGAAGGGACTTAGGGGGCCTGATTGCACAAGCCACCATTAATGGAGGCCCAAAAGGAAACCCCATACAGCCCCAAGGGCAACACTGATAGGCAAAGCCCAGCTTACCCAGGAGAGCCCACAGGTAGCACAGCTGAAACCCCCAACACCCCCAAAGCCACCAACACCTCCCACCGGATGTCCTAAACCACAGTCCTGGGCAACTGAAGTTCCCCGGCCGGAATTGATCCCACTATCCAGGAGACTACCACACGTATCCCGACCCACGGAACTCCGAAACGCCACACGTATCCCGACCCACTACCCCGAGAAAAACACCACAGCAGCCAAGCCCGACATGCGACACAGTCGGCCCCACACATAAGTGAAATTAAGAGCCACCCGTGCGGAAATTAAGAGCCACATAACACTGACCGTCAGAAATACGGCCCGGAAAACAATAACCTGCCCGGCGCATCGGCAGCAGCCGGAAAGCCTATTCTAGTGCTGCCTTTGTCCCCAGAGCCCTGCAGCCCCAACCACGCAGACCGTTGTGTCATGCCCTTCCATACCTAACCCCTTGGACGGAACGACAACTGAGTAAATAAGAAATCATGACCCAAGGGGGGGACCCGCAGAGTGGACTTCAGGGGCACCCTAAAATTGGTCCACCAGATGGAAGTCTCATATGGGCCGAAAGGTCCTGCTCGGTGAGTACCCACGTCCCCTATCCCAACAGATTGCCCGCATGAAAAACCGCGGGGGATGGGATGGGCCCCTCTGCGCCCGGGGCCCTTGTGCTGGAACGGCATGAGGACCCCATTGGCTTTTTTTTTTAAATTTATGCCACCAACCCAGCTCTCCCAAGGAACGACATGCATCCCAGAGAGTGCCCGGACCGCAGAACAAAATGGAGCATACCCGGGGAGCCCTCTCCCCGACAATGCTATCCAGAACATACGATGCCCTGACACACTTCCTGCGCATCTTGCGGTTCAACCGACTACGGTATTTACCCCCATGCCCCTCCTGGAGTCCCTCCCAAGCATGGGGCCCCCTGCAGCATGAGGGATCATATCACTAATAAACAACCCCCTCACCACTGCACCCTAGTATTTCGCGACATGCGCAAGTCAAGCAGGCAATACTAGCGCCCCGCAGCAGCGTCCTGAGCCACCCTAACCATCCGCCTCCTGGGAGGCAACGCCAGCGCTATCAGCTGTGCAGGACACTGCAGGAAACTGTACTATAACATATGATAAATACAGATAAAGGGGGCGGTTAAATAACCAGAGTGGACTCCTTGGTAAGCAGCATCCAGGTAATGTTTTTTTTTGTGAATCTTTTATTTCTCATTCTTTTCAGGGTTTTTTTTTTTAATTTCCAAATTTATATTTAATCATTTTTTTTAAATCTTTTACTTCACATTCTATTCATGTATTTATTCATTCAGTTTTTTTAATGTATTTATTTTTTCATAAATTTCCAAATTTTTATTTATTCCGTTTTTGTTTGGTTTTTTTGAGCGCTAAGACCCCCCCCAGCTCTAAAGGGACCCGATCGGGGAACCCACGCCGGCAGCCATCCTCAGGGAGAGGAGAGCAGGGGCCACAGGGAAGGTCCCAGAGGGGCACAGGCTGCGGGGGGGGGAGGGGAGGGAGGTGAGCACCCACACCGGCAGCCACCCAGGGGAGAGGATAGCACCTGGGTCAGGATTCGCCGGCCACCACCACGCTGCAGCAGCTTGGAGGGAAGCCAGTAGGCCTCAACCTCATCCCTCAAGCTGGTAAACCTGCAGGCCCGGGACAAACAGGAGCCTGAGGACAGGAAGCTGTTTGCTGGCCCGAATCCCAAGTGGCACTGAGGTAAGACCTCCCCCACACTAATTTACACAGAACATAATCCCACCCACACACTTTTTCCCAACCAATCCCATGCATCTATCCCCACACTCCTACATGTGCCCTTGTCCGCTTAGCTGCGCTATCTCCCCAGGGCCTTGCTCTTGTTTGAGCACTTACTAAACACAATAATCACTAAATGGAATTGTGTGGCATTCCCACTTACCAATTTACAATAACAAACTATAGCTGCAAGACACACCATTCCTCTGGCTCTTTCTCCCTCGCTCTGCAGCAGGCTGATCCCTTCTTTTAAAAGCCTGCCTGCTAATTGACCAGCTACAGGTGAGGATCAATTAGTTCACATTTCTGGAACTCCTAAGGTATACACAAGATCTGGTCTGGCTGTTACATAGCAACTAGTGCTATTGGAGCACTGGCCCACCCTGCTCTACAAATACTCCGCCCCCAGGGACCCTTACCATGGTTTGCATATATCAGCAATGTATATTGCAAACTTAACGTCTCTCCCTGGGACATTTAACTGAAAATTCTCTGGCTGCTGTTTAGCAAAGCAGGCCTGGTATATCTTCCTTTAACAACCATTCCACTTTTTCGTTCAGGATATGAAAAAACTAATTTGCTATATAAATATCTATAATACTTGGGAAACCAAAGCCTCCATCTTTAATTTTTTGTGCCAAGATAGTTTTATTAATTCTAGGTCTCTTGTTCTTCCAGATTAAATTATTAATTGAATTTTGAATCATATCCAGCCATGGTGTAAGGGTTTTTAAAGGGAGCATTCGAAACATTTATGCCCATTTGGGTAAGAGATAAGCTTTTAATAAGGTTCATTCTTCCCCACCACATAATTTCTATTTTTTTCCATTTGTTCAATGCTTTCGTCATATTTCTAAAGCAACTTAAAAAATTAATCTGCATTAATTCCGAAGTTTTTTTTGTCAACAAAATACCTAAATATGGTGTACTAGTGTTGGCCCAATTAAAGCTATAATTGTCCCTTATATGGTACCTACTCGCTGTATCTAAGTTGATATCTAGAATTGTAGATTTAGTAGTTATACCTCTTATTTGATAATTTGATCTTATCTTTATCGCCAGAATCTCCATAGTTATAATGTATAAGATTGGAGAGTGTGTATAATTCTATAAATAGGCACACTTGGTAGGTATATAGAGGATATATGGTATATATTATATAAATAGGTACACTTGGTAGGTATATAGAGGATATATGGTATATATTATATAAATAGGTACACTTGGTAGGTATATAGAGGATATATGGTATATATTATATAAATAGGTACACTTGGTAGGTATATAGAGGATATATGGTATATATTATATAAATAGGTACACTTGGTAGGTATATAGAGGATATATGGTATATATTATATAAATAGGTACACTTGGTACACTTGGTAGGTATATAGAGGATATATGGTATATATTATATAAATAGGGACACTTGGTAGGTATATAGAGGATATATGGTATATATTATATAAATAGGGACACTTGGTAGGTATATAGAGGGTATCTCTAATATATAAATAGGGAGACTTAGTAGGTATATAGTGGGTATATAGTATATATTATATAATTATATAAATAGGGACACTGGGAGGTTTGGTAGAGGTTATATGTTATATAGAGGGTATATGGTAAATACTGGATAATTCTATAATTAGGCACACTTGATAGGCATATAGAGGGTATATAGTATATATTATATAATTCTATAAATAGGGACACTTGGTAGGTATATAGAGGATATATGTTATTGAGGGCATATGGTATACATTATATAGTTCTATAAATATAGACACTGGGAGGTATGGTAGATGATTTATGTTTAGAGTTGAGCGGACACCTGGATGTTCGGGTCCGGCGGGTTCGGCCGAACTTTGAAAAAAAAGTCCGGGTTCGGTCACGAACTTGATCCCGAACCCAAAACCCCATTGAAGTCAGAGCTGCAAAAGCCAGTAAAATGGGGGTAAGAGTAGGACAAGTTCCCTGCAAACAAATGTGGATAGGGAAATCACTTAAAATAAGATAAAATACATAAAAACTCAAAATACAGATGAGCACTAGATGGAATCTTTGATTTCAGCTTTGGAAGAACATAAATCTAAAGCATGGCTGTCAGGAGGATCACCAGAATTATCCATTTGAGAGAGGGTTGGAGTGCAGGGTATTCTCTTTCATTGTTCAAACTGAGCTCAACTCCTGATGCATGGAGAAAAGGCCTTCACAAGCCTTTGCTATTGTGTACATAGTTTTACTACGTGACCCTTAGGTTGAGGAGGCGGTGACCATGGTGGTGTAGGTGGGAGCGGCGGTGGAGGAGGAGGAGGTAGCCAACACTGTTTATATATATGTTTTTTATTTTAATTGGGGTAGCTCCCAAAATATTGGGACATACAAAAAAATTTAACATTTGCAGCCTGCGGTGCATTTCTTGCAGTCCTGATGCATGGAGAAATGCTCAACTCCTGATGCATGGAGAAAAGGTATTCACAAGCCTCTGCTATTGTGTACATAGTTTATACTAAGTGACCCATAGGTTGAGGAGGCGGTGACCGTGGCGGTGGAGGTGGAGGAGGATGAGGTAGCCAACACTGTTTTTATATTATTTTTTTTTAATTGTGGTAGCCCACAAAATATTGGGACATACAAAAAAAGAAACATTTGCGGCCTGCGGTGCATTTCTTGCAGTCCTGATGCATGGAGAAATGCTCAACTCCTGATGCATGGAGAAAAGGCCTTCACAAGCCTCTGCTATTGTGTACATAGTTTATACTAAGTGACCCATAGGTTGAGGAGGCGGTGACCGTGGCGGTGAAGGTGGAAGCAGCGGTGGAGGAGGATGAGGTAGCCAACACTGTTTTTTATATATATATATATATATATATTTATTTTTTTAATTTTTTTTATTGGGATAGCCCCCCAAATATTGGGACATATAAAAAAAGACAACTCTGTTCCGCAGAGTAGCTGTTGACATTATAGTTGCGCAGGCACTTTGTTGACTCTAGAGAACCTCGGGCCAATCGCACATCCCCGTGGCGGCGACTTTGCATGCGGATGTCATCCATATCAACTTTCGATGCCAGTTTCTGCGCCTACCATGGTGACCACGGGTAACGGGGAATCAGGGTTCCATTCCATACAGGGACCCTGAGAAACGGCTACCACATGCAAGGAAGTCAGCAGGCACGCAAATGACCCACTTCCAACGCGGGAAGGTAGTGAAGAAAAATAACAATACAGGACTCTTTAGAGGCCCTGTAATTGTAATGAGTCCCCTTGAAATCCTTTAACTCTGATCAATTGGAGGGAAGTCTGGTGCAGAGCCACTGACCCGTGCGTGCTGCAGCTGAAACTCCACTATCGCCTGCTGCTGCTCGCACAGTCTCATGAGGCGGTGAGCGGGAAGGCCGAAGTTACAATGCAGCGCAGACAGGCGAGCAGCAGCAGCGTGACAACGCCAAAAGCGTGCAGAGCCGCTACAGTGAATGTTACATCCTGTTCCAAGTTGCGGATCAGTCTGGTGATGGCTTCTGGTATCCAGTACTCTTTTTACTGAAGCGGCATCAGGGTCCTGGTATGTGGCCGCACAAACGCTGGTGCTCAACACCAGGGGGCGTGCGGTTACCCTGCACCAGACCCTGCTAATCCATTCCACACTGTGACTCCTAACTTCAACATCAGGCATACTGGGTCACGGTTGTCCGACCGCCGCTCAGACAGTGTCTGGGTCCTGGTCACCGGACTGCCCACCCGACTGTGAAACTACGAATGGATCGTTATATCTGGTACGAACCCGAACTTTGCAGTTCGGGTTCGCTCAACTCTATTATGGATCCTTTGATCGCTACATGTATTACTTGGATAACTGGTCATTCTCGAGCTAATACATGCCAACGAGCGCTAGGGGGCAGCCGCTCCGCTTTTGGACCCTGTTCCCTCTTATGCTGTGCTGGTGCCTCTGTGTGACCAGCGCCTCTTCCTCCAAACTGCACACGTCACTCGCATGACCTTGATTCCATGTGGGGTATAGGACCTCATCATCCTCCACATCATCTTCCACCCACTCCACAACCCTTCCCTCCTTGCCGGTGTGCACACTGCAGAAAGCCACAGCAGTTGGCACCTGTGTTTTTTCAGCATGTAAAGTCTGCAAAGGACATATGGAAATTGTTTTAGAATTGTATCCAAGCAACAGTTTTCCCTATAAACTGACCTCTCAGTTTGACTTGTGAGGGTATTGCCCCAGAATTACAATATTGTTTAAGTACCTCTTAGCTATTGATAACTGGTTTAAATATAGCAGCTTGTTATCTGGTAGTTTCTAGTGTAAAAAATATCAATCTGTTTTCTATCACTTAGATCTGTGTAACAAGTGTTGTAGGTGTGAAACAATATTATAAGTGACCAGTGTAGTAAATTCGAATCAAAGTTACGCTTCGATTTGACTCTCAGAAATTGACTTTTTAAAACTCCAATGTAAGCAGCAGATTAGCAGCAAAACAATTAGAATGTTTACAACTGCGCAGTAAGCGCTCTATTAGACGCTTCTATTTGACTCTCAGATATGAAGTGCACCGCAGGTCGCAAATGTACTATTTAGCAGATTAGCAGCAAAACAATTAACATTTTTACAACTACGCTGTAAGCACACTATTAGACGCTTCTATTTGACTCTCAGATATGAAGTGCACACCCCAAAATGTACTATTTAGCAGATTAGCACCCAGAAAAGTAGAATTTTTACAACTGCGCTGTAAGCACACTATTAATACTATTAACCACTAAAATACTATTTAGCAGTTTAGCACCCAAATAATTTAAAGTTTTAAAACTGCAATGTGACAGCAGTATTTGACGCTTCTATTTGACTCTCAGATATGAAGTGCACCCCACTAATGTACTTTTTAGCACCCAAAAAAATTGACTTTTAAAAACTCTGATGTAACCACGGTATTTGAAGCTTCTATTTGACTCTCATATATGAAGTGCACCCCACTAATGTACTAGTTTGCAGAATTCTTTCCTAAGCTGTCCCTATCAGCGGCAGCATCCTCTCCCTACACTAATAAGACCTCATGTGCGTGCGGCGCTACGCGACTCCAGCTTATATATAGAGGCTGGGTCACATGCTGCACTGGCCAATCGCAGCCATGCCATTAGTAGAAATGGCTGTGATGGCTTCTATGTGCACACGAGTCAAACGCTTGTTGATTGGCTGCCTGCAGCCTTTGAAAACGCGCCATTAAATCACCGAACACCGAACTCCAACCCGAACATACAGTGATATGTCCGTGTTAGGGTCCGGGGTCCAAAAAACCTAATGTCCGGTACGAACCCGAACTTTATAGTCCGGGTTCGCTCAACTCTATATATCTTCTATAGAGGGTATATGGTATACATTATATAATTCTATAAACAGGGACACTTGGTAGGTATATAGAGGATATATGTTATATAGAGTTGAGCGGACACCTGGATGTTCGGGTTCGCCAAGTTCGACCGAACTTCGTCAAAAAGTTAGAGTTCGGGCTCGAACTTGACCCCGAACCCGAACCCCAGTGAAGTCAATGGGGACCCAAACTTTTGGGCACTAAAATGGCTCTAAAAAAGTTGCAAAAGGAAGTAAAATGGGGGTAAGAGTAGGACAAGTGCCCTACAAACAAATATGGATAGGGAAATAACTTAAAATAACATAAAATAAGCAGCCTCTTAGTAGATAACTCCCTAATTCCCATGGTATTAGGGAGCTATCTACCAAAAGGCTGAAAGACCTAAATTGGTCTTTCAGCCACATTTACTAATACTAAGTAAAGATTACTTAGTATTAGTAAATTCAGCCAGTACTCTCTATACCGCGAGTAGGGGCATGTCTAGTAAACAGTGAGCAGCCATTGGCTGTGTAATTTGACTCATAACTCTCTGATTGGTTACTTTCAATCCACCAATCAGAGTGTTGTTATGAGTCAAATTACACAGCATGGGAAAATTCCAAAGAACTTTCCCACGCTGTGTAAAATGACACAGAGCACTCTGATTGGTGGATTTCAAGCTAACCAATCAGAGTGCTGTGACAGGTAAATATAGAGACTTACCTGTCTCTTCATTTACCTGTCAGAGCACTCTGATTGGATGGCTTAAACCCACCAATCAGAGTGCTCTGAGCCTAATTGCAGGGTGGGGCAAGGCTTTATAAGCTTCCCCCCGCCCTGCAGAGCTCAGCCTGCGCAGAGCCCTCCAGGTGAACATGGATTTTTTGGGGGGGCGCTCGCTTTTTTTTTTTTTTATTATGGATTTTTATTTAGCCTTTTTTGGGGCTGAAAAAAGAAGATTTTAGAAGAAAGAAGACATCAAATGTTGTTTTTTTTGTTTGTTTTTTTTTACAGGTATCTAGCTTATGGTCCCTCCTCATTATTTTTAGTATGAGAGGGGTAGGTAGGGGTTATTTTTTTGGGGAAGGGGAGTGACAGGAGGGGGATTAAATTTTTATTTAGGGCCCCCACCCATCGCCCAGGGGTGGGGGTCAGGGGGGAGGACACTAGGTCCCCCCCCTATTCTAACTTAGGGGTGGCGGCGGGGGGTAAAGCAATAGGTCCCCCCGTATTCTAAATTTAGGGCCCCCAGGGTTGGGGGCTGGGGGGGGGAGGACAATAGGTCCCCGCCCTTATTCTAAATTTTGGGCCCCCACTCGCCACTCAGAGGTGGGGGCTGGGGGGGAGGACATTAGGTCCCCCCCTCATTGTTATTTTGGGCCCCCACCCACCGTGCAGGGGTGGGGGCCAGGGGGAGGACAGTAGGTTCCCCCCTCAATCTTATTTAGGGCCCCCACCCACCGCACAGGGGTGGGAGCCGGGGGGAGGACAGTAGGTCCCCCCTCATTCTTATTTATGGCCCCCACCCACCGCTCAGGGGTGGGGTTCAGAGGGGGGAGGACAGTAGGTCCCACCCCTCATTTTTATTTAGGGCCCCCACCCATCGCAGAGGGGTGGGGGCCGGGGGGGAGGACAGTAGGTCCCCCCCTCATTGTTATTTAGGACCCCCACCCGCTGCTCAGGGGATAGGGCCGGGGGGAAGGACAGTAGGTCCCCCTCATTGTTATTTGGGGCCCCCAGCCGCCGCTCAGGGGTGGGAGCCGGGGGGGAGGACAATAGGTTCCCCCCCCTTATTTTACTTTAGGGCCCCCACCCGCTGTTCAGGGGTGGGGACCAATAGGTTTTTATTTATTTTTTTACAGTGAGCAGCCACTGGCTGCTCACTGTTTACTTGACATGCCCCTACTCGCGGTATAGCGATTAGGTGCTGAATTTACTAATACTAAGTAATCTTGACTTGTGGCTGAAAGACCAATTTAGGTCTTTCAGCCTTTTGGTAGATAGCTCACATGCTGTACTGGCCAATCACAGCCATGCCATTAGTAGGCATGGCTGTGATGGCTTCTAAGGGCACACGAGTCAAACGCTTGTTGATTGGCTGCCCTGCAGCCTTTCAAACGCGCCATTAAATCGCCGAACACCGAACTCCAACCAAAAACCGTAATGTTCGGTACGAACCCGAACTTTACTGTTCGGGTTCCCTCAACTCTAATGTTATATTGAGGGTATCTGCTATATATTATATAGTTCTATAAATATAGACACTGGGGGGGGTATGGTAGATGATATATGTTATATAGAGGGTATACGGTATATATTTTATAATTCTATAAATAGACACACTTGGTAGGTATATAGAGGGTATATGGTATATATTATATAGCTATATAAATAGGCACACCTTGTAGGTATATAGAGGGTATATGGGATATATTATATAATTCTGTAAATAGGCACACTTGGTAGGTATATAGAGGGTATGTGGTATATATTATATTATTATATAAATAGGGACACGTGGTAGATACATAGAGGGTATATGTTATATTGAGGGTATATATTATATAGTTCTATAAATATATACATTGGGTATATATGGTAGATGATATATGTTATATAGAGGGTTTATGGTATATACAGGGAGTGCAGAATTATTAGGCAAATGAGTATTTTGACCACATCATCCTCTTTATGCATGTTGTCTTACTCCAAGCTGTATAGGCTCGAAAGCCTACTACCAATTAAGCATATTAGGTGATGTGCATCTCTGTAATGAGAAGGGGTGTGGTCTAATGACATCAACACCCTATATCAGGTGTGCATAATTATTAGGCAACTTCCTTTCCTTTGGCAAAATGGGTCAAAAGAAGGACTTGACAGGCTCAGAAAAGTCAAAAATAGTGAGATATCTTGCAGAGGGATGCAGCACTCTTAAAATTGCAAAGCTTCTGAAGCGTGATCATCGAACAATCAAGCGTTTCATTCAAAATAGTCAACAGGGTCGCAAGAAGCGTGTGGAAAAACCAAGGCGCAAAATAACTGCCCATGAACTGAGAAAAGTCAAGCGTGCAGCTGCCACGATGCCACTTGCCACCAGTTTGGCCATATTTCAGAGCTGCAACATCACTGGAGTGCCCAAAAGCACAAGGTGTGCAATACTCAGAGACATGGCCAAGGTAAGAAAGGCTGAAAGACGACCACCACTGAACAAGACACACAAGCTGAAACGTCAAGACTGGGCCAAGAAATATCTCAAGACTGATTTTTCTAAGGTTTTATGGACTGATGAAATGAGAGTGAGTCTTGATGGGCCAGATGGATGGGCCCGTGGCTGGATTGGTAAAGGGCAGAGAGCTCCAGTCCGACTCAGACGCCAGCAAGGTGGAGGTGGAGTACTGGTTTGGGCTGGTATCATCAAAGATGAGCTTGTGGGGCCTTTTCGGGTTGAGGATGGAGTCAAGCTCAACTCCCAGTCCTACTGCCAGTTCCTGGAAGACACCTTCTTCAAGCAGTGGTACAGGAAGAAGTCTGCATCCTTCAAGAAAAACATGATTTTCATGCAGGACAAAGCTCCATCACACGCGTCCAAGTACTCCACAGCGTGGCTGGCAAGAAAGGGTATAAAAGAAGAAAATCTAATGACATGGCCTCCTTGTTCACCTGATCTGAACCCCATTGAGAACCTGTGGTCCATCATCAAATGTGAGATTTACAAGGAGGGAAAACAGTACACCTCTCTGAACAGTGTCTGGGAGGCTGTGGTTGCTGCTGCACGCAATGTTGATGGTGAACAGATCAAAACACTGACAGAATCCATGGATGGCAGGCTTTTGAGTGTCCTTGCAAAGAAAGGTGGCTATATTGGTCACTGATTTGTTTTTGTTTTGTTTTTGAATGTCAGAAATGTATATTTGTGAATGTTGAGATGTTATATTGGTTTCACTGGTAATAATAAATAATTGAAATGGGTATATATTTGTTTTTTGTTAAGTTGCCTAATAATTATGCACAGTAATAGTCACCTGCACACACAGATATCCCCCTAACATAGCTATAACTAAAAACAAACTAAAAACTACTTCCAAAAATATTCAGCTTTGATATTAATGAGTTTTTTGGGTTCATTGAGAACATGGTTGTTGTTCAATAATAAAATTAATCCTCAAAAATACAACTTGCCTAATAATTCTGCACTCCCTGTATTGTAGAATTCTATAAATAGGCACACTTGGTAGGTATATAGAGGATATATGGTATATGGTATATATTATACAATTATATGAACAGGCACATTTGGTAGGTATATAGAGGGTATTTGGTATACATTATATAATTATATAAATAGGGACACAGGGAGGTATGGTAGAGGTTGTGGTGATACTAACCTCGCCACTGGGTCCTGGAGAAGACTAATTGCCAGCCTCTTGCCAATTGACTATGGTCCCTGGGAGACTTTGCCAGTTAAAAACACTATTTGGACATATTGGTGTTTAAAAGACTGTTCTGGCCCTTTAAATGAAACTGGCTGCTTTGTGCCTCCTCAACTTCTCATCAGCCCGTGCTAAACTTTAAC